TCGTCTAAAGCAGGGGCTCCAGTCATCTCTGGCTGCCCTCCCCTGCTTTGGGTGGGTCTGGTTCCCTGGAAGTTGAATTTCCCAGCCGGGATCCTCACCAGGCCGATCTCATCTAAATAAGTGGCCTGACTTTTTGTACCAGCCGGCAGCCAGCCCTCCCCTAGACTGGAGAGAGTGCAGCCACCAGCTGCGCACCCCTGCCCAGGAGGAAAACCCCAGAGCACCAGTTACCTTACAGCCACCGTGGGTTCTCCGGAGTCACTTATCAGAATGTGGAATCTGTTTCCAAGGAGTATCCAGTTACGATTGTGTTCTGGGGCATTTGCATTCTCTTGTCTGAAACGAGGATCTTTAAAATCCTGGAGCTGTGCTCAACTAATAATAGGTTTTCGTTCCAGACAGTTTAGCTAATTACTGTCAGATAAAGTAAATATCATTGCACCCATGGAAGCGTTTGGTTTTATTTTAATCGAGTGTAGTGCAGGGTAGAATCTGCCTGTGTATGTCAGCTTGTCACATTATGCAGCTATATAAGTCCCCTTCCTCCCATATGCGATTAAAGATCATAGTAAAATGATGGCAAACTCTAGGAGGGGAAAGTGCTATATAGGTTCATAAGAGATAAATAAAACTATACCTTTTTTGGAGAAAAGTCATGTGCTAACTATTGAAATAAATATGTTCTCAAATAAAAATGTGATGCTTCTTTGAAAACTTTAAAGTGTTCCCATAAGTTATTATTGTCTACACAAAAATTGCCTCATTAATATCCATATAAATATAGGCAGATAATCGATCATTTTAGTTATATATGCCACTGTTTTTGTTGTTACCTTCGAACTATTCAAATAACCAGTTAATTCTGTAACCAAATCCACAAAAAGGTTGAAAGTTATTGTGGCTTTCTAATCTCAATGTAGCACCAAAGTCAGAAGTGATATTTCTATTAAAGCATAAAAACCTGTCCTGTGATGAACTCACAGCTAGCCAAAACCACATGATAACATTTCAGCAGAATTTTTTCATAGAATTTAAAAAATTGTTACCGCTCTCCTAGAAATTTTATTTTTAATGGCTCTTAAATAAATAAGTAAATAAATAAAAGGAAAAAGTTTCCTCTTTAGCGGCAGCACTAAATAGGCTTTTGTTATTTTGTTGGTGGTGTGTATGGGTGCATGTGTTTTGGTTTGATTTTTAGTGGAGGGATATTAGGAAGCTATTCAAATTTTTTGATCAATCTAGAGGCAATAGTGTTTTGTGAGAAGGTTGAATACATTTTCTACTTTTCAAGAAACATCAACTTGGTAGGTCAGTCCCAGAAAGCACCAAACTGATCTAATTCTGTCAGAGGAAATTTTTCCTCAGTTTGGTAATTTTATAAGCGATTTTGAAATGTCATTTTAGCTTGTTTTGCATGTATTTGTGTAAATGCCATATTTTTCCATTTTGTGCCTGGAATTGAGTTTTCTAAAGAAGCCACCACGTCCCTTCCCTGGGAGAAAACCAGTCCAGGTTCAGTAATCCTGTAAATCTTTGTAAATTACAGGCCCTTGCGGAGGAAGTGAGTTTCGATTTCTCGGGGAGAGGACTGTCCACATCCATGTGTATCTGCTCCACTCCAAAACATTTTAAGATAACAATGTAAATACAGCTTTCGTCACCAAAACAAGTTCTATTCTGCCCATAAAACACACCAGTTAGAAAGGCTAACTTTGTCGGATGAAAATTAATGCATATTTTTTCAAACAAAAAAAAAACGCCTACAGAAAGGATGCCTAAACACAGACGTTTTATTTGTACTATTTGGGAGTGCAGTGAAGTTTTAACTTGGGGATTAAATTGGAATTCTGGACGCATTCCTTAACTTCTTTTTAGTGTGAGTTTAACTTCCTGTAGCAAGACTTCAATGTCTATAGACTTTTTAAAATATAGCTTGACTTCAGAACTGCAGCTGCAGTCTTTGGCGAATAAATTCACGTAAACCAGAGCTCTCTGCGGGCCCTCTGCAGATCTCTGAGCGGTGCGGGCGGGAGGTGGGGGAATGTGGTCATCAAGTTCCAAGAAGCAGAGATTCTTTGTGACTCTTCCTACAGCGATC